AGAACTCCTTCTTACCCTGGCGGGTAGCAAGGAACTTCGACCGGATACGGTACGCCAGATTAGGCGGCGCGAACACGCGCGAAAGCTGTTGCTTCAGCTGATTCCAAGTGGGAAATGCAGCGTCAACACACGTGCCGCACGTTAGTGCCCATTCGCGAGCGCGACCTCCAAGCCTGGAGATAACCAGCTCCACGCGCTGATGCTCAGACTGGAGCAGGGCTGATCCCATGGCCATCTCGACCTCACGGGCCCAGAGAAGGAGATTCTCTCTATCCTTCCCCTCGAAGGTTTTTACGCTCACCATGAGCGGTTTCAGTCTCATAGACTCTTCACGCGTCATCGACGCCGCCGCCGTTGCGGCGCTCATCTTATCTTGGACATGCTCCAAGAGCGCGTTCTCGTAGTGGGAGAACGATTCCAGCCTGGCAGTGACCGCCTCTGGACCTTGCGATGCAAGATGAGCCACGCCCTCCGGGCCAAGCAAGGGCATAAGCTTAGTAAGCGCGTCCTGCTGCGCCGGGAACAAATTCGCGAACACGGGGTGTTCTATCCTCGCAGAGGATATAGTCAACCGACTCAGGAGCGGGATTGACTACAAGTGCTACCAAGTGCAGTGGGGCTGCCGTAGCTTTAGCGTCAGAGGAAGACGTTCGACTCAAAGAGTCACTAATACTAAGTTCCTTATCCAAAGGACACTTACAGCCCCAGACCAGGGCTCAAAGTTAATACCTTAACTTTATGCTTCAAAACCAGAAGTGTTTTATTTACCATTATTGCGGCCAAGCCGCCTAGGCGTAAATGTATCTGTTTAACTATCTAGCATAGTTAAACCTAATCAAATGCATAACGTGTGGCTTTTAGCCAACGTACTGAGAGACCTTGTTAACTCTCCAACTTATGAACTGAGAGTTTAATAACTCTCCGGGTACTTCGTACTCCGGTGTGTTCCACACCATGTAACCCCGTTACATGAGCTCACTTGCAATCGCTTTCTTCCAGTTGTATTGGTCCGCACTAGTAGTCGCCTCTTCGTACGTCTTTAAGACATCCTCGGTGGCAGCCATCAGCTGTTCACTCTCAACAATGGCGAGTTCGCTACCACTTGATCTCGGTCGCTCTTGAGTCATCTTCTGACGCTTTGTCCCTCTCGACGATGGCGCATCGATAGTTTGCTTCTTCCTGTTGCTTGTCTCTTCAGGATCCGTAGTCTCGTCAATGTGCCGAACACACGAACGAGTAATCATAGAATGTGTCGAGTCGTATGGCACCATTGCAGTATCCATGCTCACGTCACGTTGAAGTGGAATCACGTCAGCAGCTTTAACATCGGTGGGAACGATTTGCGTGGAGTCAATCAGCGACATCTGATCCACGCTTGGAACCAATACGACTGTGTCATCTTCTGCATCCAAGTGAGTCATGATGCGCGCAGGATCAGTTATCTCAATAAACTTCACGGTGCGCACGATTTGCATATTTCCTGCTGCCATGTTGAGGACGCGGTACCCCTTCACTCCGTCCTCGTAACCCATGAACCGACACTTGAACGCTTTTGCAGCCGGCTTGCGGCGCTTCTCGTCGGGGATGTGAGCGTATCCAACTGCACCGAACACCTTCACGTTCTTGAGTTGTGGTTTGGAGTGACTTACAATCTCGAAAGGTGTCTTCACATTGACCGAGTTGAAGATCCTATTATTGATCCAGACCGCAGTGCTAACTGCCTCTGCCCACCACTTCCTGTCGACACTCTCATGATAGAGCATGCCGCGAGCCATCTCCACGAGGCTCCGATTCATCCGCTCAGCCAGTCCATTCTGCTGGGGTGTGTACGGTACCGTCTCCTCATGCTTAATGCCGCTGCAATTGAGGTAGGCCTTAAACGCCCGGCCCGTGTACTCACCGCCGTTGTCCGAACGCAGGCGCTTGATTTTTTTACCGGTTGCATCCTCTATTCCGTCCTTGTACATTTTAAGCTTCGACAGTACTTCCGATTTGGCCTTCATGAAGTAGACCGTAACGTGGCGTGAGTAGTCGACAGCGAATGTGACGATGTACGTACAACCACCAGGTGTCGATATTTGCATCGGACCCATTACGTCCGTATTCACCAGGTCAAGCACGCCGGCACTCTTGACGAGCTTCTCCGGATGTCTCTGGTAGTCGTCAGCCTTCATCTTGCCCATGCAGCAGCCTGTGCGCACGTCGTCCCCGTGGACATCTCCCGTGACGCGAGGCACTCTTTCTGCCATTGTCAGTAGTTTCTCGTAGCGCTTATACGGGATGTGGCCAAGTCGGGCGTGCACAACAGCCCATGGCTTCTTACGAGTAGGCGTTGCAATATGACACACCTCGCCCCCCCCCACTGTCTTTAACTCGTAGATATATCCATAGCGCGTTGCCTCCATGACGGAAGCACCACCAAAGCTAAAGACACACTTGTCCTTGCAGAACTGCGTCTTTCTCGGCCAGCTTCGACACCGATATAAGGCTTCCTTCAACTTCAGAGATGTATAGGACATCCAACAGCGTGACAGACGCCCCGTCCATCGGCTTTATACCGACGGTGTCTTTTGCAACTGCGTCGATCTTCGTGCCATCCGCGATCGTGATACGGACTGGCGTCTTCAGCGCCTTCATGGACACGAACTTGTCCCGGACGCTGGTCATGTGCGAACTTGCACCTGAGTCGACGAGCCATTCACTCTTTATCATCGCACTCGTTGCCATGAACGAGAAGTCTGGCGCTTTCTCTCGCGCCGCTTGCTCTCGTTCCTCGTCGGCCTTCTTCTTACGACACTCGAACTCTCGGTGCCCTTGCTTCTTGCAGTAGAAGCACTTGCCCTTAAAACGTTGCTTGCCACCGAAAACTTTCTTCTTCGTAGCGAAAACTTTCTCTTGAGTCGATGGCGATTCATCCGAGGCTTGAACGCCAGAGAGTGCTTGGATCGCCTAGGCCAGCGTCGCGCTCGGCGTGTTGTCGAGGACAGTACTGATCATCTTGTACTCGTCCGGCAAACTGCCAAGAAGCAACACGAGATGGCGAGTCACGTCCAGAGTCTCACCGATCGTCTCCTTTTGTAGGACGATCTCCTTGAGCTGATCGACGTGGGAAGCGAGCTTGGTACCAGGCTCCATCTTGAAGTTGTTCAACTTCTTGGTGACGAGAAGCCGGTTCTTGAGCGTCTTCTTGTTGAAGTGCTCCTCGAGCATCGTCCACGACTCAGCGGCAGTCAGTGCTCCGCGGACGTAAGCTTATTACGTGAGACTCACGGCTCCAGCGATAACACCAAGTGCCTTCAGATAGCTGGTCTTCCATTCTGCCGTGGAGCGATCACTCACTTGGTCGAACTCGGGCTTGATGATCTGCGGGAGCAGACCCTTCCGAGCAAGCTTCATCCGCATGTTGAACTCCCAGTGGAAGTAGTTGTCTTCCCCGAGCTTGTCGATGTTGTCGGCGTAGCTTGGGCTCATAACAAATTGAGAGTATGTGCTCGAGGCTTGCAGTAGTCGAGTGTTAAGAAGAAAGAAAATCCAAGAGTGAGTTTTATTGAGTTAGCCCTTATTGTCTTGCTTTGCTAGCTCCTTTCTACTTTCCTCCGTAGTCCTCCTAATCACATGTAAATCCATACACAAAAGATACATTTCGTCAGCAACGCCTATACTCGTCATAAGCGTTGGCGACGAAAATAACTTGGGTTTTGTATGTGGACTGGATATGCTCAAATCCGACCCTGGCATTAACCATGCCAGTCATTTGGGATCAGCCAATCAGATAGCTCCATTCGACCCACTTCAACTTATGACCCCTCAGGGCACACGCTTGCCACGCATCAACCGCTTGCTCCAGGTGCGTGCCTAGAGGTTGGAGCCCAGGCAAAGTGATGGCAAAGTGCAATCACAACAATTAGACTACGGAAAGGTAAGTAATTAAGTACACGAAGCTAAGCTTCTACTGGGTGGACGACGCTCAGAAAAACGCGACACCAAGAAGCACTTCTATTTGCGGTCACCTTATCTCCAATAAACCATGCCACTCCTTCGCGTAGAGGCGGCGGCAAACTCGTACAGTACATCTTAATGAAGGGAATGGTACGACGACTTGTGATATTCGAAATCTGGCACGGTCTTCTTAACAATATAATGGATTGGGATTTTAGAATCAACGATTTTGGGATGAGCAACCGGAGTACCACTTCAGTTTGCAAATACATAATCCACCACCTCATGACCATCATCACCAACGGCCTGTTTGTCTTGGTCCACACTTTCTAATTTACGCTCTGCAACACATAGACACCGGCAGCAATACTAGCAAGCTCAGTAATGCGCCTTTTTTTTGGCGTCTTACTTGTAGCAACCCTTGTAGCTGGGAGTAGGGCGAAACCTGCAGCAAATTGAAAACCTTGCTATTACTAAAAAAAAAGCTTGAATTTGCCTAATATACCTTTGTAAGCTGTTAAAGAAAACAAATCATTTTTACTAAATTTCACGTGCTGAGTGTACGGCGCAAGGCCGTAAAAAACATTTTTACTTACGAGAAACTGGGGCACTTCATTTCAAACTTGAGTTGACGCAGTACCTACTTCTCTGTGGGCCACATATTCCATCCTAATTATATAAGGATGGTAGTGTGGTAGTGCTACATGAGTAGTACGTACAGCCCAATAAGGATTAATATTATTAATCCTTTACGTACTACTCATGTATGTAGAATAAAGCCATTTGCTGTACGTACTTTCTTCTGAAGCACTACCAGGATTAATTTGGTCGTACCACGTGACACCAAGATTAAAATGGTTAATATCACTTTGCTTGCATAAGCAAAAGCTGTTGCGGCAGGACTAGGAATATCTCCTTCGTGCATTTATTATATGATAAATGGCGGTGGGCTGCAAACATCTCTACTGAGCAGTAACAGAAACGCTCGATGAGATGTTTCGTCCATACACTGTTTTGCATGGATTTAACTGCGATACATGCTCCACCTATTACGCCCCTGACTACGTGAGGCGTAGTTTTGAAGAAATGAGTTGTATCAAAAGGGGAGAAGTTTTAAATTGCAAATTCACTTTTTTATTGACCGTAAACTTAAATCGATCTCCAATTTCTAGTTTACCTTGCTCAATAAACATCAAAAGGATCATCAATCCCCTAATAGTCCCCACTGAATCTTTGTGACACCTTTTCTTGCCATCCTTCAGGGCTTTCAAGGCCTCTTTCTCTTTTTCAGTAAGTTCTTTGACAGCACTGCCGGCCTGTTTCACTTTTTTGACGGAGGCTTTCGATAACTTCTGTATGGCTTCGGCGGCATTGATGACATCAACGATGCTGCCAAAACCTCGATCTTCTTCATCGGTCGTCGAGTCATCATCTTCCGGGCCTGCGACTCGAAGAGATCTCTTCCGGGAAACAGTATTGGTCATATCGTTGACTGCGAAGTCGGGAGAGACCTTGGACAAGAGCTGAGATTCATCGGCATTCGTGAATGCTGCGACGGCACTGCAGCGAGCTAAGACGGCGACGACAAGAACAATGTAGAATGTACTGCGCATGATTCTGACGGGGCTACGAGGGGACTTGTGGTATTGAGGGCGAAAAGTCAAGTGACTGCCGGCGATCTTTCGTTTGGCCACTGGTCCGGTGGTTAATACACGAACATTGAGGGTTCATCATCATGAAGTCACGATGGGGACGTACGGCTATAATAACCGTCGGTTAGAGTAAACACGAAAGCACCATAAGCAAACAGTATACTTTAAGAAAGTGAGCACTACGCTCTGAACTTCAGAGCGTAGTGCTCACTTTTCAGACTGAAGGGGGTAAATACGAGTGCAAATCAAAACGGAGAAGACAAACCAGGGCGAGCAGATGCCAGGTCGCAAGAAGGTCCGTGTCGCATTTGCGCAGGCGGGCCCACCGCCGATCTTTCTAGCGAGCCGGGCATTGCTGTCTCAAGGTTGAGATAATCTTTTTAGTGGAGGAGCGCAGCGATTTGTCGACGACACACCCGCTAGGTTTTTTCGGTTTTTGATGTCTACCCAAACAACAAAGTTGCTGTCTTCACAACTTGAAAGAAAACAATGATCAAGTTCTATTCGTTTAGCACATATGAGCTCTTTCTGTTCATTCTGAAACTATCTACAGTTTAATTTGGCAGTTCAGCCTGTTAGGTCACAGAAATCCACTCAGGTAACTTTTTTTTTAGCAGAAAAACAATTGGAGCTATTTTTTCAGTCGATAATTGAAGCGTAAGTAAAGCATAATGCGACCAGATAGCCTTGTAATCTGCATATGTACAGTGTGAACCAGCTTAATCTGAATTTTGGAATTTGGAGGTACATAATTTGCTCTATTTTGACTCAAAATTTTTGATATAGTGATAAACATGATTACGAGCACCAAACATGATTGTGAGCACCATAATCATGTCAAAATGTGATGGCTCGAACTAGAGTCGCTGACAGCGGGAATGGACACACAGCGAGTCACTTTGTGTCCATTTCCTGCTGCTCCTGGCGGTACAGACGCGCCAATTCGTCTCTCAAGTCTCGTAGATTACGCTGGGTCACCCAACCTGGGTGTGGACCAGTCGCTGGGAAAGCGCGGCTTTGGGGTGTCACGATCCGCCAGGAGTTGTCGGCTCTCATCACGCAGCATTTGCGTCGCGATATGGAGCGTGTCGTCAATTACGACTCGTCATGCACTTTGTTGCATGATGGAGAGGAGAGCAGACGAGGCTCTTTCTGGTCGTTGCCAACGACTCGTTGGACAGGTCATTTGGGCCAAATTTTAGCGAGGAGCGTGGCTGGTTGGGCGAGCGCGCACGGGGCGACTTGATTTACGTACTCTATGTTCGTGCATGGAGTTGCTTTTTGAATTATGAAACGCAAGATTTATCGTCGTTTCGGGCGTAATGAAATCGACATGGCAGAAAGTCAGTGAATACTCTTTATAAAAACAGCGATAATTATATATATTGTTCTTACAGAATAAACACATTTGGGGGGGCGAATATCGTACTTAAAAGGAATTTAAACTATTACAGTAAAAGTAATTCAAATTTTAAACATAGGATGTCCGTTTTAGCGTAAGACGGACATCCTATGTTTTTCAACAAAATTATATAAAACATGAAGGCGTAAGTATGAAATGACCCAGAATGGATTCAGTGAAACCTGCATTCGTAGGACGGTCGTCTTACGCTTAAAGATCGACTCCTCTTGGAGAAATGTTTTGGCACTCATTTTGCGACGCAAACATGGAGATAACTTCACTCCTGCACCTGGTTCCCGCTGCCGAATTACCCAGTACATGTACTAGTGTAGCGTCAGCCCCTGTGCGAAATGCATAGCACAATCAGCAAGAAAAACTGTTAATTTCTTGAGGATAACTGTGCCGCTAAAGGCGTCTCGCTTTATGTCAAACCTTTATAAAAATGTACTCAATGTTTAAAGCTGTAAATTCACAGTTCGACGGCATCTAATTAATCTTGAACGATCTTGTTTTAGCTCTAAAGTAATACTATTGTATTAGTAAATGAAATATATACAGTGTACTGTAGTAGTTTTAATTCACAAAAAAGTAAAAAAGCATTAAGATTTATAAATTCCTGTTTATGACGATTTTACAATGATTTCCGTAAATGCACTACCTGCTCAACTCTCGGGTATTATTAATTGATTGCAAGATAAGGCGTGGACACTTAAACAAAAGTCGTTCTGTTTCCTCCTCTTACAAACCCTAATGTCTACATAAAGTTGATCCTTGCCGAGTTTGGGACGGACGGTGTTGAGCTGCTTAATCAACGAAAGGTCCGCGAACTTTGGGATCTTGAATAAAGCCGAAAATTGGCCAAGCTGGGGAGTCGGGATCGCCCTCTCTTCGCCCTTGTCACCCAACTCAGTACTTCCTGTAAGATAGCGGTGGCCATCGTTTACGCGTTCGTAAGGTGATCCAATCACCAAGTATGAAGTCTCGACAGTTTTATCAGCACTTACAATTGCTTGCCAGCGCCAGTAGGAAAAACTGTATTCCGCGCATGATTGATTCCAAGTTGCACCTGTCCTGTTCGGGTCGAAATCGTGCGTGCGATGACTGTGGAATTAGTTTAAGAGCCACATTCTGCCGGTTTGCTCCCCTGTCGACTAATCGTCTGAATCAGTTGGAGTAGGATGAGTTTAAATAGGGTATAGCTACAAGCTGCTTGTGATTGCCTCAAGATGTGGATAGGATCTAAAAATTCAGATGTATTTAAAATCGCAACCCTTTGAGATTTCACATTTGAGACAAATGGCAAAATCAGAAAAGTACGCAAATTTCACTAAAAAAATACTGTCTCTGAGTTATTAAGTTCGTATCCAGACTTTGAAGCACCAAGTCACTTCGTGAACATGGCCTTCGCGGCAAAACATATACGTTGATAATGACCGAGGTCAACCTAGAATTTATTGAGCTTTTTTTTACCCTTTCACGAACGAAGAGGCAAAATGCCCCTATTGATGTGTCCACGGTACTATCGCTACGACTGAAATATTATAATTTAAACGTAAATGTTATGTTAGCAAAATTAAAAACTGGTGGCGGCAAGTACTTGTGTGGAAGACCTACTTTGGGCGAAGAAACTGCTCAAGGAGCTGAAGGTGGAGCATGAGGCTGCACAATGGCTCCTGGACAACCAAGCCGCGATAAAGGTGTGTTCTAATGCTGGAAATTTCGACGGGGTGAAACGTTAAACCAAGAAGAGTCGAAAGATTACTGAATTGGTGATGAGGAACAAGGTGGACATTGAGTACGTGTCAACTAGCGAAACCTTGCCGACATGTCAGCCAAGCCCAATGCAATTTGAAAAGTTGCGGAAGGAGCTCGGGGGGAAGGACGTAAACGGCGTGGCTAAGCGCCAAGGACTGATCAAGAACCTGGTAAAAGAAGGTGTGGTGAAGCGTCAACGACTGGTAAAGGAACCGGGGTTATGGAAGGCGTGGGCAACCGCACGCACGATGATGTAGGCGGGCTAAAGCGTCAAAGCGTGCAGCTATCCAAGCGCCAGAAGAAAAAGAAATGTGGTGAAACAGCGACATACGTTGGCAGGAAATCGGGTACCACCGATGTCAACGGAAAGGCTACCTGGAATGTTTTGACCAGAAGGGTTGAGGCTGGTAGTGACACGGAGGCTAAGGTTTGGAGGAGTCTGAGTCTGTGGGCTCTGCTGACTTCCGGGAAGATAGCTTGCGCCTGTGTCAAGGGCTGTCACTCTGGGCAAGGAGTGACGAGAGTGTTGAAGACCGTCATGATGGATGGGTGTTTCCGCCCTCTAAATGATGTTTTATGCCTTGGAGCTTTCCGCCTCTTATTGTGGTCTTAGCAGCAAGTGACATCACAGACCCAAGAAGACCAAGGAGCTACCGGAGCGCCGATACGACAAGCAGGGCAAGTGCAAGACACGCCAGTTGTTGATATGCGCCGACTCTGCACGGTTCGGCTAACCGGCGTGACGTTCCAAAATGGACCGGTCCCAAACCGGCTAATCTGGTGGATGGCCAGGAGCACTGAAGTTTAGAGGACAGATTTAATTGACTTTAATCTACTCACTTCGGCATTTGCCTTTAACAACAACAACAACAGGTTAACAGCCGCAAACGTTTAACTCTACCGGAACGTTCCAAAACATGACGACGACCAAGCGCTCCGAAGTCCTCCTCGGGAGTGGAAACTACTTTCACTGGGAGTACAATATGCGTATGACGCTAGCCAGGAAGGGCCTGCTTGCGCATATTCAAGCCGTCAAGCCGGAGAACGAGATCACCGAGGCGTGGCTCGTCAATGATGCCAAGGCGCTCGGCATCATCGCTCAGGGAGTGGAACTCCAGCATCAGACCAAGATTCGGTCGGCCACTCGTTCCATAGAAGCTTGGGGAACGCTGCGAGAGTTCTATAACCGCACCACGCTCCACAACCGCGTGACGATGACGCGTCGCCTCCACGAGTTCAAGATGGAAAGTGGATCGACTATGGCAAAGCATCTGGATGCGTTTGATGAGCTGATCCTCGGGTTGCAGACGCTGGGAGAGCCCATGGACGATGCACGCCAGCTGGTGGTGCTGCTGAGCAGCCTCCCCGTTGAGTACGAGCTCATTTCGTCTATCGTGGAGAACGCCAAGGGTGTGACGCTCATTGAGGCCAAGGAAAAACTGTTGAAGGAGTACGAGCGACTCGAGAAGAAGGAAACCACGGAGAAGGCGTTCCAAGTGAATGGGAACGCAGGCAAGTTCCGGAACGGCCGAGGGAACGGTCAAAAATGGAACGATCGAAAATGGAACGGTCCGAAACGGAACGTTGGTTTCAAGGGCAAGTGTTTCAATTTGACCAGCTGTGTCACATGAAGCGGGACTGTCCTGCTGCGAAGAAGAGCAGTCAAGACGATGCAGTGTTTGCAGTTGGTGGGGAACGCTCGGCCGGGTGGCTGATTGATAGTGGTGCGACGTCGCACATGGTTCCTCACCGGAACGACCTATTTGGGTACAAGGCACTAGATAGTGGCATCGACGTGACAATT